TAAAAAGAAAACTGGATGCAACCTTATCAATATGTGAGGATTTTTTTTAGACAAAAATCAGTCTTTATTATCTTGTTGAGTGTTATAAAAAGTATCCAGTACTTCCATACTTAAAATATTCGTTCTTTTTCCAAAAGCTAAAGAGAACCTGTAAAATAAAGCATTTATATGCTGCAGAGTGGAGGATTTTTTTTTTTTTTAGTATAGTTTGACACACAATGTTATATTAGTTTCAAGGGTACAACATAGTGATTCCACAACCCTGTAAATTATGCTGTGTTAACAGATGAGGGTACTATGTGGAAAAATTGCCTTTCAACGTGGTTAGTTTTCAAATGTCTTTTAATAAGTAATTGTGCTGAGTGACAGACCTTCAAGCCCAATCAAGCAAACAGAATCCGTGACCTCTAGAGACCCATCCATGTGACAACGCAGAGGACATGGATGTTTGAACAATGAACCAAGAGCAAGTGCACTGGAAGGCAAGATTAACTATTTACTCTGTATCTAGGCTTTGGACTTTTCCGTTCCACCAGAGCCGGCTTGACAGGAAAAGGAAAAAGTCTTCCTGGACAGAACGGGAGACAAAAATGAAGTATAAGTGGACAATGAATATTACTTTGGGTTTAAACGTGAGAGGCCAAAGATAAAGGGATCTGAGGAGTGGGACCAGTGCCAGCCCGAGTCTGACTTGGCCTCCTGCCCAGGACTGTGGCTAACTTACCAATCAGAGGCCAGCCTCTTGGTTCCACCCAATGTCAGTCATATTCTACCCACTGGCCCTGGGTGTTTCACTGTTCTGGGATGTAGAGAGAGGCTGTGTGGCAAGTTCCTCCTTTGACAGACATAAAAGATGGATCCTAGGGGCGCCTGGGTGGCTCAGTGGGTTAAGCCTCTGCCTTCGGCTCAGGTCATGATCCCGGGGTCCTGAGATCGAGCCCTGCATCGGGCTCTCTGCTCAGTGGGGAGCCTACTTGTCTCCCCCCACACCCCTGCCTGCCTCTCTGCCTACTTGTGATCCCTGTCTGTCAAATAAATAAATAAAATCTTAAAAAAAAAAAAAGATGGATCCTGTTATCTCCTGGCAAAAGTACTTTGTTCAGACCTCCCTATGTACTCAGCACAGTTGAGGAGGCAGGAAGTTTGTCTTGTGATGGTAGAGCTCCTTCCTAGCAGTGTTTTGGAGGAAAATTCCATCAGGGCCTTCTAGATTCCAATCTGTCTTCTTAGCTCTATCCAATATACTTAATACACAGTAATCAATCTGTAATATCCCAACAGTAAATTCCACTGCCAACAGCTCCATTCCCTGGCTTGTGTTTTGCTGCAGTGTGGCATCACGTGGCTCTACACTTGGGCTCAGGGAAGTGTACGGAAGTCACTTTCTTCACAATTTATTTAATATTTGTGAATCACTGACTACATACCATGCCCTATTATGAGTGTTTTCCTACTGCACTAACACATTTAATCTTCATTAACAATTCCACGAGGTGTTATCACCATTTTGCAGATGAGTTACAGAGAAGTTAAGCAATTTGCTTGATGAGGCACAACTGGTTCCTGGCAAAGCTGAGGTTCAGACCTAGGCAGGCGGACTCCAGAGTCCCAGCTCTTAAACCCTGAGCTATTCTGTCTCTAGGAGGACTTCACAGTGATCCCCGATGGATGCCTGTTAATATCTTGAGAAGAGCATATCAAGGGAGTGAAGGCAGCCAAAACTCCAGAAATGTAGCTGATTGGGAGATGGAGAGGGGATGTAAAAAGAAACCTACATAGCCCAGGAGGCCCAGACACCCTCTCCCCCACTTTAATGAGTGCTGTTGTCTGTTTGTACTAACAATTAGTTGTTGCCTACTGAAAGTGGTTGTTCGTTCTCTCTATTCTGCAGCTCTTGCGCCTGGATTTTTTTTGTTGTTGTTTGTTTGTTTAGATTTTATTTATTTATTTGACAGAGAGAGAGAGAGAGATCACAAGTAGGCAGAGAGGCAGGCAGAGAGAGAGAGGGGGAAACATACTCCCTGCTGAGAAGAGAGCCCGATGTGGGGCTCGATCCCAGGACCCCAGGATCATGACCTGAGCCAAAGGCAGAGGCTTTAACCCACTGAGCCACCCAGGTGCCCCTTGAGTCTGGATTTTTATTTTTTTTTCTTTAAGATTATATTTTTTTATTTGATGGCGAAAGCGCAAGAGAGCCCAAGCGGGGGGCGGGGAGGGGGGCGTGGCAGAGGGAGAGGGGAAAAGCAGGCTCCCTACTGAGCAGGGAGCCCGACCAGGACCCTGGGATTATGAATCAAGCCAAAGGCAGATGCTCAATGGACTGAGCCACCCAGGCACCCCCGAGTCTGGGTTTCTTAAGTAGGTTTCATTTACAAAGGAGTTCCCAGTATTAACTCTGTGATGTTCCCTGCCAGATAAGCTCTTCTTAGTCTCCTGCCTTCCAGACATTTCAGCTAATAGAAATGCCAAAGCTGTTGCCCAGCACATATGTACAACACTATGAAGGCCTTGTCTCTTCTTATGCTTCTGGAGAAGTCCCTCAGAATTAACACTGTCCTCAGCCGGCAATGCTGTTGCTACACTCGTGGGATCAAGAGCCCCCACAAAAGGTGGCTAGGAACAGGCAGTGCCCTAAAGAATTCACCCCTCTGTAAGGGGCCTTTGTCCTTTGTAGTTTAATATTTTTGTCACTTTTTAAAAAAGATTTTATTTATTTATCTGACAGAGAGATAGAGAGCACAGGCAGGCAGAGGAGAGGGAGAAGCAGGCTCTCCGCTGAGCAGGGAGCCCAGTGCGGGGCTCGATCCCTGGCCCTGGGATCATGACCTGCGCTGAAGGCAGCCGCTTAACTGACTGAGCCACCCAGGCGCCCGAGTGTCACTTATTTTTTTAAGAAAAAGTTTTTTCCAGGGCGCCTGGGTGGCTCACTGGGTTAAAGCCTCTGCCTTCACCTCAGGTCATGATCCCAGGGTTCTGGGATTAAGCCCCGTAGCAGGGAATCTGTTTCCCCCTCTCTCTCTGCCTGCCTCTCTGCCTACTTGTGATCTCTGTCTGTTGAATAAATAAATAAAATCTTTAAAAAAAAAAGTTTTTTCCACATATATCCTTTCATGGGCTCCTCCAAACAATTCCATAAGGTCAGAGGCTGGGAAGAGATGATAGTCTTCATTTGGTAGAGAGGAAACTGAGGCAACAGGTGATGTGATTTGCCCAGAGTCACACACAAAGGACGGCAGAGCCTGAGCTCAGTGTCAGCTGTGCTGCCACTGGCAAGTCAGGGTATCTCTCTGGGTCCTGCTTGTACCTATAGAGCAATGAGATTGGAACAGGTGCTCTGTAGGGGTCTTTTCAATTCAACCATCATGGAATCCTTTCCCCTGCAAGATCTGATTATCAAGACTCCCGAATTTCACATTTCCATCCATCTTATTTGCATCCATCCCAGAATACGACTTCATTATCTCCCAGCAAGCAGGGAGTGTATCTCTCCTATTTCCCTCCTTATATTACAGAGTATTTTTTGGAAGGGCTTCCTTCTTCTCCTACACTCCTTAGGGACATCATTATACTAAGAGGCAAAATACTCTGGTGGAAGTGTAACAATGTATTTGCCTCAAAACCTGTGGCTTATAACTTCCTAGCGCACTTCACTCTAACAATGGTAGCTGAGATCAACAGACCAAGTACGGAGCCTGGGAGCCTCACACTTTACCAAATGTTTGACATGTATTATGTTACTTATTCTTCAAAACCACCTGACGAGGTAAGTATTGTTATCATTATTGTCACATTACAGAATGGACAGGTTGGAGAGGTAAAAGCACTTACTCGGGATCCCATACCTAATTAGGTAATGGAGTCTGGATTCAATCCCCTGGAGCATGTCAGCAGCTCTTAACCGCTATGCCAACACCCCACGGCTCCTCCTAGGAGAAAAGGGGATTGTATTTTGCACACTTTATTTCCTCTAGAAACTTACTTTGTAATATTTAAGATAGAAAAAAAAAAAGGCACATTATGCAAAGAGTATTTCCTCATTAATTTTTCCTTCCTTCCTTCCTTCCTTCCTTCCTTTCTTTCTATCTATCTATCTCTCCCACTGTGTGCCAAGTGCTGTTTTAACAGTTGGGATGTAGCGACAAATTCCTCCAGATGGAGAGGGCCAGGAGGAAGTAAGGCAACATTAGAAAAGTCAGTAATAGTTTCTAAGCCAGTGTCACCTATGTGTCTAGCATTATGTTCAGCAAGCCTAACTAAAGATAATTATCAGAAAACCTTGCTCCAGGGAAATGACAGAAAGTGGCTTAGTTTGGTTTAGAAACTAAGTTTGGCTTAGCGCAGAGGAAAGTCATTTAGTTTGCTACAAAGAAATGAATCTTTTTACAAGGACAAGGTAAAGAAGAATGTCATTGTTTAGAACTGTATTTTGTAAGCATCACAGACAAAAAGGAACCAGGGTGATGGTTTATGGGTAGTGAAAAAGGCTCTATCCCGGGAGCCGGTCACCCTTTCATCAATGAAGCATTTTCTGAGGGCTATGTCCTATGACGCTACTGAAAACCTGGTAGGCAGGTCGCTGCTCTCCCGGAGATTATAGTCCGGTGAGAATATTCCCGTCCTGAGGCACTGCCAGGCTCTAGCTATGTGACCTTGGACAAGTACCTTCTCCGGCCCCAATTCTGCAAAATAAATGGGGTCAGACTAGCGGATCTGCCGTTCAAATTCCCAGTCCCCGGCGGTATCCGCGGCCCCCCTACCCCGCGGCTGGGAGAAGGGTGGGCGAGGCGTCCCCGCCCCGCGCTGCGGCTGGCCGGACGCGGGGGGGCGCCGCTCAGGCCCAGAGAGCGTTCGCGTTCGGAAAGTGCTTGTCCCTCGCGGCGCCCCGTCGGCCCCGCCGCCCGCGGAGCGGGAGGAGGCGGAGCTGGAGCTGTCCCGGCTCCCGAGCGGGGAAGCAGCGGAGGAGTCGGCTCGGCGGGCCCCAGCCGACGATCGGGCGGGGCGGCGGGCGAGGCTGGCAGGCGGTACCCGCAGCGCTGGGAGAGCGGCGCCGCGGGGTGGGCGCTCCCGGCGAGAGGTGTCCGCTCCATGCGTGCGGGCCGAGTCCGGCCCCTGCGAGCTGCCGACATGAAGAAAGACGTGCGGATCCTGCTGGTGGGAGAACGTGAGTCCGCTCGCCGGGGCCCTTGCAGCCCCAGCCGCCCCGGGCCTGCTCGCCCCTCTCCGCGCGCTCGGGCCTCCCAGCCCCTTAGCACTCCCCTTCCCGCGGCCCGCAGGCGGCCTCAACCTCTCGGCTCACCCGGGCCCTCCTAACACCTCCCGCTCCTGACCCCCAGTCGTCCTCGCCAGCCTTGTCCCCACGAGTCTCTGACCGCCGGCCTCATCCCTCCGAAGGTCCTCTCCTCCTTTTCCGCTTGGAATCCTTTCCTCCTGGGCCTCAAAGCGTTTCCGAGGCCGCTTCCTTTTCAGAGCCTCTTGTCTTCCGTGGAGATTCGCTTGTCACTGCCAGGCAGGTGCTGATACAGGCCGGCTGACCAATTGGGATAGCGTGAACCGGCTCCCGGGGAAGCTAGGGGGAGGGGTGCAGAACTGTTCGACTTGCCGGCAAGGTCAGGGTTCTGGGTTTTGGGTTTTTGGTATTTTTTGTTTGTTTGTTTTTTTGTTTTGTTTTGTTTTGTTTGGTGCTCGCAATCTTCTCACCCTCTAGACATTCACTTCAAGGTATGGAGCGTTTTTGGCGTTCCTTGCACTTTGCATTGGAATAACTCCCGCTATCCTCGATATTTCCCCCCAAATTTACTCTCAACTTCAAGTTACACAAGCGCTCAGTGAATGAATAATTATTTGGGGAGGGTCCTTTAGTTGAGAGAATTATTGTCACCAAAAAGCCTAGTCGTCCCCCTCCCTTCCCCTCCCCCCTTAAGCAATATTTATTGGATAGCTACTTGGTAAATTTGTAAGTAACAGGCACACAGGAGACCCAAACTGACACATACACATAAGACCCCCTAGAAATTCTTAGATTTCACCTTTTGAAGATATAATAAAGGAGAAATGCCTTCCGTTCACTGACTTGGGGACAGAACAACAGGGACTTCTTGATAGCAGTTGGCTAGTTACATGACTCATTTGGTAGGACTAAAATAGGAAAGTGGGCTGGGAGGACTGAATTGCTTGTTTGTACATTAGTTAATGCTCTGCCATTGATGTTTTGAAGCATTCTGTTTCAAACCCCATTTCATCCTAGAGTAGCTTCTCCAGGTCACTGTGATGCGCTCCCAAGGAAGAAAGCTAACACATTTTTACCCTCTTCTGCAGTGTTCTTTGATAGTCATTGAAATCTCTGTTCACCTGCTGTTTGGAGAAGTCTTTAAAATCAGAATTTGGAAGGAAGCTTGGCCTGATACAGTTTATTTTTTGGTTTGCCGTTGTGAAATTTAATCTTTCTTTATAACTATATCTTAATCTGTATTTTGCATGGATTTCCTTGACAAAGTTCAGGAGGGTGTTACTTAACGTATGATTCATACTGATGCATTTGGAATAAGGTAAGGTAGGGAAGGTGAGTGGATGAGCCACTTAAAAAGCTGATCCTTGGGACGCCTGGGTGGCTCAGTTGGTTGAGCAGCTGCCTTCGGCCCAGGTCATAATCCCAGCGTCCTGGGATCGAGTCCCACATCGGACTCCTTGCTTGGCAGGGAGCCTGCTTCTCCCTCTGCCTCTGCCTGCCATTCTGTCTGCCTGTGCTCGCTCTCTCTCCCTCTCTCGCTCTGACAAATAAATAAATAAAATCTTTAAAAAAAAAAGAAAAAAAAGCTGATCCTTAACTGTGTCATAAAATAGCTGTATAGTACAGTAATTGTAATACTAATTTTCTGAAGGCAAAAACCCTATGTTTTGGTTTTATTTTGGAATATGGGAAGCAATTACAAATAATTAGTCTGTAAAACATCTAAATAGAAATGCTATATGTATGTAAGATATATTGTCCGGCCTTAGGGCATTTAAATGAAAGTGTTTACAGTATTATTTAGAAATACATAGAAAGAACTCAAAATTTGTTTGAAAAATTAAAAGCCATGTTCTGCAGGTATGAAAGCAAATAGGAGAGTTAAGAAAAGTGTGCATGCATGAGTTTTTTGGTCACAGGGAGAACCTGACCTAAAAGACAGCCTTAGTTTTCAAGAAAGAGATTTTTCTTGAAAAGGTTTGTACCAAAAGCTTTAGGCAAGTTACCATATGTATAATTTTTTTTCCCATTTAAAACTTAAGAATTAGACTTAATATGAAATATGTAATTTTAATTAAATTAAATTTTAAAGGTGATATTTGGGGGGGGAATGTTTGAAGCATTATAGGATTTAATGTAAATATTTGACAGTTATTAGCCTAGCTGTCAAATACCACCTTAAATGCTGAGTAAATATAAATGTGACCAAGACTATTTTAATAAATAAAAAAAATATAAACTGGTCTAACACATGGATTTATCAGGAAGCCCACTTTTTAAGGTAAAAGTGGTAGTAATTTAGTTGTCATTTTAAGATGGTTAAGGGGAATAGGAAAAAAAAAAAAAGGAGCTTCATCTCTGATATTGTTGTAAAGTCTGTTCCTTCTCTATCGCTTCAGTATATTTTACTGCTGTTACTGCCCCTGAACCACACAGCAGCATCTTCATTCACTGAAGGTCCCAAAGAGTTGTGAATGGTTTCAACATTCTGTTGGCTGAACCTATCCTGTACTCTGGAGATGAAATGGATCTTTTCTTGGCCCATCCAGAACCTGGATTCTGATCTATCCAGGCTTAAATGCCTACTAATTGCTTACTGTCTCTTTAGTTCTTAGGTCAAAGAATTTAGATTGTCTATAAATTTTAAGGTATTTATTTGCGGAGAAATCCAAAGTGTTTTAAATATCTGCACCTTATCTTTTTTCTTTTTTTTTTAAGATTTTTATTTATTTATTTGACAGAGATCACAAGTAGGCAGAGAGAGGCAGGCAGAGAGAGAAAGGAGGAAGCAGGCTGCCCGCTGAGCAGAGAGCCCAATGCAGGGCTTGATCCCAGGACCCTGAGATCATGACCTGAGCCGAAGGCAGAGGCTTTAACCCACTGAGCCACCCAGGCACCCCTCTGCACCTTATCTTAATAATATTGAACATGATAAGGTCCATTCAGGCCACGTTAAAAGTCAGTTACCATTCTTTAAACAAAACAAAATTTTTTAAATCGTTAAAAATACAACCACGCAAAACTTAGTTCTTCAGGTTATGATTTTTCATGCTCACATTCTTTGGCCAGCATTTGTATTTAGCTAGATTTGCATAACTATGCTTAACAGTTGTCCTTATTGCAATAAAATTAGCATGAACCTCAATGGCCTTTTGTCTAAATCATGTAGCTACATTAAAAGTACACAAGATCTAGTTTCAGTGAAGTCTTGTTTTTAAATAGAGATATGTTTGTCTTTACTGGTCAAATCATTAAGAAAGTGGAACTGTTACCCTCTTTTTAAATGAATCTGGTGGCTCTATTTTTTTGTTTTTTTTTAAAGATTTTACTTATTTATTTGACAGATCACAAGTAGGCAGAGAGGCGGGGTGGGGGGGGGAGCAGGCTCCCTGCTGAGCAGAGAGCCCGATGCGGGGGCTCCATCCCAAGACCCTGAGATCATGACCTGAGCCGAAGGCAGAGGCTTAACCCACTGAGGCACCCAGGCTCCCCGAATCTGGTGGCTCTTAACACAGTATGTCTAACTGATTAGTTTATCATCGAAACTAGTTCAAGCCAAACTTGCTCAGGCTTCAGTTGGCTCTGGCCTAGGCTTTTGTAATATCTCTCCTTAACTGGTCTCCCTGCTTCTAATTCCATCTATTCTCTATGTAACAGGCAGAGTCATCTTTAAAAAATATCTCAGATCCTGTTACCCATTTTTAAAATTCTTTGATGATTTCTAATTTGACTTAGAATGAAGTCCAGACTTTTTAATGCAGGCCTGCCAAGTCCATCACAATCTGACCCTTGGTTTACTCGTGCACTGCTCTCTACTGCTGTCTTGACAAGAAGGCCCTGACTCGGGCAATTCTTCCCTGTGTATTTTTCACTTGATTTTTGGGATGGATAGTAAGCTTCATGAGGGCAGAGGCTGTGTCTTATTCATTGCTGTATCCCCAGTGCCTAGAGTCGGCCTGGCGCAAAGTAGGCAGTCAAATGCAGTTGACCCTGAAACAACATGGGTTTGAACGGTGTGGGTCCATTGATACGGGGATTTTTTTATGGTACAGTACTGTAAATGTATTTTTCTTATGATTTTTCTTTTATTTTTTTAAGATTTTATTTATTTATGACAGAGATCACAAGTAGGCAGAGAGGCAGGCAGAGAGAGAGGGGGAAGCAGGCTCCCTGCCGAGCAGAGAGCCCGATGTGGGGCTCGATCCCAGGACCCCGAGATCATGACCTGAGCTGAAGGCAGAGGCTTAACGCACTGAGCCACCCAGGCACCCCTCTTAGGATTTTCTTAATCACATTTTTTTCTAAAGCTTACTTTATTGTAAGAATATAATATATAATACATATAACATACAAAATATGTATTAATAGACTATGTCATCAGTAAGGCTTCCAGTCAACAGTAGTTATTAGTAGTTAAGTTTTGGGGAGTCAAAAATTATCTGAGGATTTGGGACTGCTGGGGATATGGGGAGTTGGTTGGTGCCTTTAACCTCTGCGTTGTTCAAAGACCACCTGTAGTTTTTTGTTTTTGGAGAGAGAGAGAGAGAGTGTGTGCAAGCGAATTGGGAGGGAGGGGTGCTGATGCAGAGAGAGAGAATCCCAACCAGGCTCCGTGCTCAGTGCAGAGTTGGTTTCGGGGCTTAATCTCATGACCCTGAGATCATGACTTGAGCCAAAATCAAGAGTGGGACGCTTAACCTGCTGAGCCATCCAGGTTCTCCACGTCATCCGTAGCTTTTGGAAGAATGAATGAGTTCAAGTTAGTTCCATTTATTTAGCCTTTCCTTGTTTTCCAAACCAGTCCTCTTAGTCATAAACATTTGACCATTCTCCTTTCTTAAATCCAGTCTGATGTGTGGTTATTGTTAGCATTTGAGGGCAGCGTTCGTCCAGTGTCTTGTTCCAGGTCCTTAGCTTGGTTTTGCCTGGGAGAG